TCATAACTCGGTTAAAAAAATTAAAATATAATWAAAAGCCTATGAGATACCCTCTGTAATAATCTTGCCTTTAATTTTTATAATAGGTCAATTCACTCTAAATTTTAAATTAACGGAGATAAACGTGATCTGCTGAGCGTAAAATTTGSTATGCTACGCACTTGTACRACGGAGACAACACATGCGGGTGTGGCGTCCTCTTAATTTACTAGACATTACTATCTTGTCTAAAATCTTGGTTTTTTAGGTTTTATAATTTCAGGTTTGTTTTTAATCTTAATTATTTTATTTTTAGAAATTAGTGAATCAAATGGTACAGTAAGAATTGATTACTTAGAGGAAGGAATCATGTATCCTCATGGTATGGATATAGATGGTAAACTTATGTTCATCATTAGATGCAAGTTGCATTTTAAATCTTCTAAAGATTCTGAGGAATGTAAAAAGTGCGCTGTGTATTGGTTTGAAAGAATGGAAAGGTAATTTATTTCCCAACTAATTTATCTGTGTATTATATTTGTGGTGTTATAATTTATAGATTGACCAATGGTGATCAAATTACAATATTCTTTGATATGATGGGTTCTGGTTTAAGTAATCTTGATATGGAATTTACGAATTACTTAATAAATTTACTTAAAATGTATTATCCAGCCTTTTTAAATTACATTATAATTTATGAAATGCCATGGGTTTTAAATGGTAAGTTCTTGTATTTATTTTATTTTCTATTTAAATAATTTAGTTGTACAAGATTGATTTTATTTAGCGGCTTTTAAAATAATCAAAACATGGTTACCAGCCAAGGCTGTGAAAAAAATTAAATTCCTAAGTAAACATAATTTAAACGAATTTGTATCAAAAGAATCAATAATGGTCAATTGGGGCGGTGAAGACAATTACGAGTTTAATTTTGAACCAGAAACTAAAAAAGTTGAAGAAACCAAGAAAAAGGTTGAACACTTATTGATTAATTACTATCCAAAAACTATAACTTTTAGTGCTTCAATTATGATGGGAAAATAAATCTCAACTATGTTAAACAAAAAAAAATCAATATTTTAATTTTTAGGTTCATTTTGCAGAAACAATGGAAGTAAAAAATGGTTCAGGAGATATTCGAGACATAGTGTATATGCCCAAAGGTAAATATTTTTTGTWA